GCTACTATAGTAATCTGTAGTGTTGTTAATGACGCGCGAGTGCAAGGCACGTTGAAAGCTAGTAGTATAGCCTGCAGCAAACAGTTATAAGATGGTGGAGTGCCAGCGATATCAGACATCTGCGCTCATTCTTCGTCTCTTCTCTTCTACACAGCGACAGCCTAAGAACTGCCTCATCTGTCTATCGGAGCGCATATCTCAGTCTAGAGCCATGGCTGCGTTACGACCACACGTGGTGGATCTTCTGATCATTGGGGCAGGCCCTGCGGGACTAAATGCCGCCCTGCTTTTCGCACGTACTCGGGGCACAGCAATAGTGTTTGACTCCCAGGAATACCGTAACGAGGGAATCAAGCAAATGCATACTATCGCCAGTAGAGACCACCATGACCCACATAGTTTTCGTCGCACTGCTCGGGAACAAATTGAATCTCGATACGACACTGTCTGGTTCCAACAAAGCAAGATTACTCATGCTACCAAAAAGCAAATCGGGGAAGAAAAATACGACGGCTTTGAAGTCCGCGATAGTAACGACAAGACCTATCTTGGGAAGAAGCTCATCCTCGCAACCGGTTCAAAGGATGTTTTACCAGACATTCCGGGTTACAAGGAGAACTGGCCACATCACATCTACCAATGTCTAGCATGCGACGGCTTCGAGCAGCGTGGCACTCCTATCGGTATCCTCGAGTTCAAGCATCCATCACAAGCAAATCTCATCCAGATGGCCAGAGCATTCGATGACAGGCTTACCATTTTCAGTAACGGCGCTATTGCGGACGACCCTCCTGTTCAGCGAGCGCTGAAGGTCGCCCGAGGCGTTGGCGCGAAAGTCGACTCCCGCAAGATCGTGCGTCTTATCAACAACGGACCCTCACATGAGGAGGGTGTAACTATCGAGTTCGATACAGGCAATCCAGTGACTGTGGGCTTCATTGTGCATCGCCCAGCTACTGTGAATAGATCACAGCATCTTATCGAGCAGCTGGGTATTGAGACGGTGGACCCAGCTATCGGTGGACATATCAAGGTCACAAGTCAGTTCAATGAGACAAGTGTGAGAGGGGTGTTTGCCGCGGGCGATACAATGGTTGTAATGAAGCAGGCAGTGATAGCGATGGCCGAGGGTCTGAAAGCCGCGTCCGGCGCAGGTCAGCAGATGCAACAGGAGAAAGCGGAGATTGCCATTAGAAATTTCGATTCGAGCGTCGGGGAGGCAGATAATGTGCCTGTGATTGCGTAAGAAGTTGCTGGACACTCGTGGGAATGTGGTAGAGTAGATTCTGGTATTCATGTTTGTATGCTGTAATCCTTACTCCCTCTGCATTTCCAGTCTTCTCGATCTATACCATTGCGATTTTGACTTACAGGTATGTTCTACATTTAGGCAGATGAGTGGAACTGGCATGAGGCATGGGCACGTTACAAAGAGGAGTGACCGTCATGCTATGTGCATATGAGTGGTCGATCAATTGTCTCGCCAACGTAACTTCCGGGATGAAAGTCTTCTGCATATTCTTACGTCCAAGCTTTTGTACTGCGTGACTTTACCTCGATTCTTCGAAGTCTCCGCTCATGGGATAGAAGATAGTGCAGCAGTAATATCAGTTCTATGTTGATGTTCGTGCTGTATGGAATTGGTATCAATAAAATCGGGCTGCGATTGGTACTAGCCCCGCTGACCTGGCTTATCATGGCACTGGTCAGATTGGAATCGTTCCATAATGCCCGTCGGGTTGACCTGAACCTACGCCTCAGAAGTGCAGGATGCATTTCCAATCAAAGCGCAGCGAGGCATTTGTCATGAGAGAACTTCTTCGCTGCGAGAGAGTGCAGTACTTGGGCGTGTTCACAGTATGTCATTGACTGGACAGCGAGTTGAATGAGGTATTCGGGAATAGATCCTTGTGGACTCTGAACAGATATTACTCAGCAAACTACGCGAGAAGGGTGTCATCCGTTCAGATTCGAAGCAAGGGTGCCACATAGGTGCACTTGCTTTCTGAAGCATGGTGGAAGGTACAACTCTGGCTGCTTGCCGATCGTTATCAGAAGCAAAAGGATTTGCATACACAGTAAAAGCGTAGGCCGAATGCATGAGGGCCTTATCGTTGGTTCCAATGATACTGAGTGCAGGTGTGTGAAGCTGTTGGATGATTCGCCGGATGCCGTCAGCCATGAGCACGCGAGAGAAGAACTGCGTGCCAGCTTTGACAAGTGAGAGACTGTTATCAGCCTAATCGAAGCATGAATCAGCATAAAGATGTCCGTTTTGTCTCTTACAACGTGGTAATGGCCGCTAATCTTACGTTAGCATACAAATCTAGCGAGAACCATCGACAGTCTTCATACATTCTACTACGCTTTCGAAGGGATTTGCTTGTACATTTTCTTCACTCTGAGTTACTCCAGAGCAGTGCGTCATCATGAGCACTTTGCGCAGCCGACTCTGCGACCGCTACGTCAGCAGATATATCAGTGCGTGGTATGCTCAGCTTCTTCACCAACTACGTATCTGAATTGCTAGATCCTTAGTTCTCTCGCCGCGGAAGCTACTTCCTTGCTACTTGTACCTTTGCCCTGCTTCCTGCTCACCGATGATATCCCACACCGTTGGATCGGAATTTGCACCACCATGGCACAAGCAGCCACATGGCTCAAAGTGCGGTGACTCTCGTGCTACCACACCTGCGTGCGAGACGATACTGCATCTCGATGGGTGCGATGGGTGCGTTGGTTGCTTCAAGAGCTGGCACCTAACGGGCGATGTTTAATGAACTCTATGAGTCAGAAACAAAGTATTTGCGCGGGCCGCTACGCCGTCGTGCGGAGTAGTCTCCGACGTCTAGTTCAGTGAACAGTGGGCAAGTTTGAGTAAGACCAGAAACCGCAGCGGAGTGATCGAGGCACCTGGGTTCTTTCGCATTATTAGCATATTTGGAAATTTGAAGCTCGTGGTAAACTATCGACGTTTGCTTCGCCGCGATGCATTTGCAAACATGCAAAGAAACCCATTCGGGGGCTGGCGGAGTTGCTTCGTGTGACTCGTCAACCTGCCTGTAACCATCTATAGAACTTATTGGCCCATGATCTTTCCCGCCGTGCAAACATCCTACACATGCGGTTAATCTAATTAACCAGTAAGCACCCACGCATAACGCCTTGCCCAGCCGGTTGTGGCAGGTCCTGCACTGCTCATGTGCCGAAGTAGGCAGTGCCCGCACCGCTTTGGGGCATCACTTTGCAAGGCCTCCCGTCCAATGAAGCGGGGTGCCGGTGTAATGGTCGGCGGGGGCTGATGTGAGAGAAACGACAAGGTAGGTCGACGAGGAAAGAACATGTTGCGTCATATGTCTTATCCATCGTGGAAACGATGGCCTAAGGGATTGGAGAAGTGGGCGTTAGGCGCTCTAGTCTGTCGGTAGATGTAGGTACGTGTGGCTATGCGCGTGCCGGGCGGCATCGGCCCGCCGCAACAGTCCCGTACCGATCACAACCGGCTCTGGATAGCTTCACGCCGTTGCTCCCCCACTCCAACATCTTCAATTCATTTTTCCCAGAACCATTCCAGATCACGAACACCAACCCTCTAGCCTACCCTCTCTCCATAATATACAAACCACCGCACCCTCACAACATGCTAAGCCGGACCGATAGCTGACGCGCCTCAGCACTAGTTCGTCTGCGTGTCTAAGCCACCAGTCCAATCCCCACTCCTACACCGGGTACAGGAACGGCCCCGCTAATCCTTGCATTCCTGCGATCCACACAATCACCCATGTCCTCGCCTCCGCGATTGGTGAAAGCGTGTAAACTTGTGAAAAGGCAGCGGGCTATCTTACGCCTATGTTTAGGTGGCGCGTAACCTCCCACGCATCCTGCGGGAGCTTGAGTCAAGAGCGGGTGTTCGGCGGGAAGCGCGGGCGGGAGGTGTGGTGGGGATGATGTGGTGGATATTCCGAACTTTATGCTTGAAGAATGCGAGAAAAGAGTTGCTAGAGTGATAGGTGATAGTTGTGCAGTGATTTGACTTGACTGACTTGCTCGTGCTTCGAGCCTACAATGTAAATACTCACTTGCCATCACGAACGTTCGCAACATCAGCTACCCGTCACGGGTTGCATCTCTAGCGAGCCAACATGCCATGTTCATGATTGCTAACAATTGCTCGATCGTCCTCCATGTCGATCTTGCAAGATACCAACAGAGAGTGGTCCTGTCATCCCAAGCGCCCGGCCCAGTATGCACAGACTTCATCAATCAGCGCAGCCTGTTTGTGCCCCATGCGCATGTTTTAGAAGCGAACCCGAGATACGGGTAATAGACTCGCGATTGAGATGCAGTCGACATACCTGGTTTTGCTTATGGTGAATGTTCTGCTTCAGTCGGGATAAGAAACATGTCGGCAGCGCTGATTTATGGTACCTATCGATTCAATCAATGGAAGTATAGGATAAACCTGTACAAAGCATTCCCCTATAAGCGTTAGTGCGCTGAAAATTTCTTCGCTGTTGTCTCCGCTAGTGGAGGTCAGTTCGCAAATGTGTAATTCTTGGGTGTAGTGCTGAGCGCAATCAGTAGGTGGGGCACAGGTGAGATGATGCACGCAATCCGAAGCTAGATGCGCAAACGGAGATTGTCAAAGCGGTCTCGCATAACGAGTTAGCTGAAAGATGTTCCATTACGCGTGATAGTAAGCCATGGCTCATGGTAGGTAACAAATTACAAATGCACCAATGAAGATACACTGAGGAACCTTCGACCATCACTCTCTACCCGCTCTATTGGGCCGCCTAGGCCCTCCAAGGAACTGGCAACTGAGCGTGCGTACAGGCCGTCGGAAGACTAGGCGGGGATGGAGGAAGTGCGGCCGAGGACGATGCAAGGAAACGACAATCGCTAGAGCCTTCCCAATAGATATGCTGGTGGGGTACATGCGCGGAGTTCTATCATCTAGTACAAGGAATTACAAATCGCTGAAGATGCAGCCATGTAGATCATACTGTGTTCATGCGTAAGCAGCTCTGGGTCCGCGATGCCATCTGACGCTTGACGTTCTCTGGCGCAGCTGACATGGTGATTCTAAAAGTATCGCGTACGCAGCTTCGAAGCGACTTCTCCATGGCCACGTAGACGCCGCAATGGATGCCTGTCTCGGCGGCATTGGCCGGGTTGCAGTAGCGCTCAGAAAATCTGTCAATCAGCTTCTCCACCCTGCAGAGCTCAGCCAGAATGTGATTTGATTGATAGATGTGTTCGTGTTCGGAGCTCAAGAGGCCATTGAACATACGACGAGGGGCCAAGGCATCCACGTGAGTCTCCATGGAGTAACATTCGTTTTGCTGAGTACTACCAGCGATCGCTTGGTACCAAGATAGTATTTTCACGATGATTAGATTGATCGTGGCTGAGTAGTGGGGGTTCGATGAGCATTCGCAACTCAATAGCGTGTAGAGTCTGTCCACTGCCGCTGTGTTGGTTGAGAGTACTGGTCCCGATGTAGGGAGACTATCGAGCGAGTTGAAGTCTCCAGCAGCAGACTGAGTCTCAGGCGGAGCATATAGGCTGCATAGTATCTGGAAGGCGAACTGGGTACAATCGTGCCTCATGAGGATGTGGGAAGCTGGTGGTGTCGGTAGAGGGGAAGATATCATCGGCGGCGGCGAAGCCATTATCTTCTCTTGGTTTGCATTATCTGGTCCTAGCACATCAAGAAACTGATGACCAAAAGCTGCCGAGGTTTGGGTTGGATCCAGTGATGCCAGCATCTCAGGCTGGCTTTGCACGCTGGTTGATCGGGCATGTCCATGAAAGGCCGCGTGTGATGGAGGATACTGTGGTACGGGAGCAAACATCTCCGCCTGATGTGCAAATAGCATTTGTTCACCGCTCGGCCAAACATTTGAGTGCGAGCTGATACCTTCCGAAGATCTGGAAGATTGGCTACCATCGAATGTGTTCCCCACGAATGCATCCTGGTAGTGGTATTCTGGGGTACGAGGACCGAAATAGAAGGGGTCTGTCGGCTCCGGAGAACTTTCATACGTGTACGATGTAGTACGTGGAAGCAGATCTACTCTGGCTCCGAGAGGTGCATAGGAGCCTGCGGGCGATATATCGCGCTTGATAGATCCATCGAAGTTTCTGTTCTTGCGAGGTTTTCCCAACCTGAGAATGCGTGAGCTCGAGCCTCAAGTCAGAAATATAGTTGACATACCTCATGGAAGGTGAGTAGTTGCAACAGATGCTCATAGTGCCGCATCGGTGGCATGTCGGTCGCACTTTGTCGCATTTAACCTGCAAACAGTGTCAGAAATAATCGTCACTTTGCCAAAATGCGGAGTGAATACCTTAGCACGGGAGCAGGCGTCGCAAGAAGCTCTCATCTTCCGAGCTTTTGACACTCCGTTTAAACCATTAGACATGATGGTGATCTCGGGTCCAGCGATCATGTCATCTATCGGCGGTGATCGTGATTGACGAGATGGGAATGCTTGAGTAGAGGCGTGGAACATTGTGTATGACAGATGGTGTGACCGCAGGATGAAGCGCACAAGTAGGTATGAACAAAGATGTATTATATAGAATGAACGACAAGAAGAGAGCTCCGGTCTGAACTAGGTTGGATCCAGGAATGATCGCAGTTGGTATCATGGTGCAGTGGGCGTATCTGTGCTGCATATGGCTGTCAAGCTAGACTGGGCGTTGAGCTGAGACTTGAACGTGCAGGGACAGGGAATGCTGCAGCCATTGCAGACGGACGTGCTCTGGATGGCACATGGGGGCTAAGGCTTACCGGCGAACTTACATCATGCTCCATCAAGCCTAGCGCGTTAGGTAGGCTGCGGAACCACATGAGCGCATTCGTGCTCGCTAGTACCAGTATAAGGCTTTTTACCCCAATAAAATGTATCAAAAGCTTCGCTGAACAGGTCGTTCGCAAACTTGTGTGACAGATATGGCGTAGTAGGAGGGTTTGGTACTGAGCACAACCATTGCTCGAGGGAAGAGATCATACCAGATACCGTGCCGCATGGTCGGTACACGATGAGGCTCGGTGACCTGGGGCTGCGGTTGTAAGTGAAAGGCTAGCCGCATTGAACGGAGAAATCCACGAGGGCTGTACCAATGACCCACCTGTGAGGTACACCCTTTCTGCGTCTTGCAGTGGCATTGGTTCAGGATTGCAATACCTAGCTTTCCAGTCATCAAAGCCCTGCAAACGATATGCAGACAACTTCTCTGTGCGTGGGGTTTCCTAGCGCTGACTTGCCGTGTTCGGGCTTGCTACACAAAAAGAACGACGCTTGACAGTTTCTGCTACGGCGCAGACTAAGCCTCGCATGCTTGATATAGTGACGTGACAGTGAGATTTTCGGTGTGTATGGTACACAATAGCGTGTCAGGCAATCTTCAGTTTTCCTTAGGGCTGAGTGTATTGTAGGACAAGTAGTACACTGCTGTTGAGACACAGAAAGGCGACGGACATGGCTCGTAGCACGGGTCAGATGCTGCGGGAAATCCAGAGCGCAATCTTTAGTTGAATTTGCTCTCTAGCACTGTATGGCCATTGGATACGTTCGGCTCCTGCATTCGATCCGGGAAGAGACGTTCCCCGGAGCTGGGCTGATGCGGGCCGATCATAGATCATAAGGCTCGCCCGTGCACTGCGCAGCCGCCCATCTCGCGGTATCTTGGTCTCGAGGCTTCCAGACTTGTGCAACGACTTCGTCAAGAGGTAACACGCAAGGATGCAATGCGATACATGTACTCCCTACCTGGATACGCTCAGCCTCAGGCACAAATAAAGGCAAGCGAAACAGCAAGCCGAATCGTCCCGTCGAGGCTGCGATGTGGGCAGCGCGGCAGCGGCAGCGGCGACAACATCAACCCCATGCAAAGAGCTCTCGGTAACGGAATGCCATGAAGAAGAGGGGCGGAAAACAGCATGTCGTGAGTGCGCCGTGTTGGGGCGCAGACGTAGGTGAAAGTGGGTGAACCACAGGATTGGGGACGGCAGCAGGAGATAACCGCCCGCGCTAGCTTGATCGCTGCGTAATGCGGGGTCACATTGGCTGTCGCTCCACCCCCTATTTCAACGGCGAACATGCACCTAGTGACCTGGAAGGGTTCGCAATCTACAGCACGTTTTACAATCTAGAGTCCAACCACTTCATTAGCGGAACGGCATCCAACCCACGCATAGCCAAATCTGGATTAACAAGCCAAAGGACAAGGCGCACCCCGACTTCATATCGCTCAATGTTGAACCACCCAAATGATAGGATTCTCAAACCTGAAACACGCAATACTCCCCGACATAGTAGACTACACTGCACGATGATGGCGAGACCATGACTCTCCAACATGTCACTGTCAAGTGATGCGCAAAGTGGCTGGCAATGCATGATCCTATCCAACACGACCAGCTATTAAATTCTGGCCCTCGCTCCGGACAAGGGCATAGCGACATCAGGAATGAAGAAGACATGCTCGTATTTGAGTTCAGTGGCTTCGAGGTCGGACAGCGAAGAGATTAATGGGATGCCAACGGGCTTTTCAACATCTTAGGTTAGAGAGCGACATGAGTAGGACTGCCGCATGCGACCGCAACTCAGACCGTGTTTCACGACCACCGGCCTTCTTTCTACTTGGGTTCCAATTGCGCTATATTTCTACTCGGCTTCACAGTTCACTAGTGTACCAGCTACAGCGAGCAACGACTACTGTTTTGCCGACCAGACGCTGGCGTCATATGCAATCATCGACTGCACGTACTCATCGCCAGCCGTTGCCCATCCTTTAACGCCATCAAGAAGCACGAGGCTCTCCATCTGCGCATCTCCTTGATTCGCTATATGGTCGGCGAACCAACCTGCGGCACGGGTACCACGTCCTTTTGAAGAAGCTGCATTGCGATAATACTTAGCGCTGCTGCAAGTGTAGTTGCTATCGCACAGGAGCGGCCTTACAGCAGTACCAGATTACCTTCCTTTGACCTGAATCTTTGAAGAGATAATAGAGTGTGGGTATGGTAGGGTACAAGCTTTGCGCAGGAAGGTTTATCGCACCGCGAATAGTGCCGCCCTATTTCAACTGATTAGTCTCAGAATAAAGTGTGTGAACGAAAATCAACGTCACCTGGTAATCGTTGCCACGCAAGTCGACAAGAACAAAGTCCCTGCTAGAAGAATCTGCGCCTTGCTTCATCATCTTCAGAACTTGTTCTCGGCGAATGAGAGTAGGCGTGCTTCTGGGCGCTGGGTAGGCTACATGCCATAGTGAGTGTGAGAGATTGTTCGTGGTGGAGGTGGCCATTCCTAGAGATCTCCCCGAGGATTTGCAAGCAATTGCAATTTTTCGCAACATTTGAAAGCAGTTGTGGATTAGTGACCTTGCCATGTGTTGGCGTCGAGATATTCAGTAAGTCACTGGTGGGCGATGATTGGTCCAATCCCTAGGTCAAATTAGCCCCTGCGGTGTATACTATGCCCTACATCTTCCCTGGTATGTCACTGCTGGAGGATGATTGGAGCAATGCTAATCGATATGCCATCGAAATTCACAATGGCATACATAAAATACAGATGCTTTCTACCCAGCATCGGTACCTTGATTCCTCGATAATCACAGCTCCGAAATATCCTATCGCACAAGTGCAAACACAAATACCATGTCTTCAACATTAGATCAAGGGCCGCGGCCCAATTCAACTCAGACTCTCTCATCCGACAAAGGCACCGACCTGGAGAGTCTGCCAATCCAAGAACAAGCAGCGCCGAACCACGTCTCAGTGATCAAAGGGCTAGGATATCTTGATCGTTTCCTCGCACTCTGGATCCTTCTCGCCATGGCGGTGGGTATTCTCCTCGGTAATTTCGTCGAAGAAATCGGGCCAGCGCTTCAAAAGGGCAAATTCGTTGGGGTATCCATACCTATCGCCATAGGTCTACTAGTTATGATGTATCCCATCTTGTGCAAAGTGCGCTACGAGACTCTACACCGTCTTTTCCGCACTCGCGCACTCTGGGTGCAGATCGTTTTCAGTATTGTCATGAACTGGGTCATCGCCCCACTGCTCATGGTAGGCATTCATCCAAACCTTTCTTGCCGGTATTACACTGACTCAAGCTAGCTCGGTCTTGCGTGGGCATTCCTTCCCGATCAGAGCGACCTGCGAACAGGATTGATATTGGTTGGGTTGGCACGATGCATTGCCATGGTATGCTTGTTAACGTCCAGAATCTTCGCTTTCGTTTTCCTCTGACTGACACCTGCTATCAGGTCCTTATCTGGAACGGACTCGCAGGTGGCGACGATGAATACTGTGCCATTTTGGTAGCAGTCAACTCTATTCTCCAAATGATACTCTATGCGCCCCTCGCAATCCTCTTCGTCAAGGTCATCAGCCGCGAGACTGGCACCGTCGCTGTCTCCTACGAAACAGTCGCCACAAGCGTCGCCGTGTTCCTCGGTATACCTCTTGGCGCTGCGATTTTGACACGCCTTTTGCTTCGCAAGCTGGCAGGTGCGAAGTGGTATGACCAGGTGTTCCTCAAGTGGCTTGCCCCATGGTCACTCGTCGGCCTCCTCTACACCATTCTCGTTCTCTTCGCCTCTCAAGGACAACAGGTCGTTCATCAAATCGTCTCCGTCGTCCGAACCGCCGCACCCCTGATGGTATACTTCGTTGTCATCTTCTTCTTCACACTCTTCGTGTGCAATAAGCTTGGGTATGGATACAAGTTGGGAGCAACCCAGAGTTTCACGGCTGCGAGTAACAATTTTGAGCTTGCTATCGCTGTTGCCGTCGCTACATATGGTCCCAATAGCGACCAGGCACTTGCCGCCACAGTAGGACCTCTCATTGAAGTTCCTGTGCTGATCGGCTTGGTGTATCTGGTAAAGTGGATGGGTAAGAGGTGGGCGTGGAAGAACACCTAATTCGCGATAGTTACCATTGTCTTCCTATATCATATCCTCTAATCATAGCTTGTCTTATACATAGCTAGGTAACGTTTCGACTATACGCCCGCCGCTTCAACCGTGTGGAATGTTGTTATCATCTCAGACTTCTACCTCGTGACACCTATTTCTTCTTTTCCAGCTAACTTCATTACCCGTGGCTTGAGATGCTTGGTATCAGTTGACATAGTTCGAATTACAAATTTGGCTTTGCTAGAGCAGGATACAAGTCATGCGCGTCATCAAACGATGGAGACTGAAGTAGTCATGCGTTATGTCCGTTTGAGGCTAGCACTCGAGCTTTACCGAGGCTAAGACTAATCTTGATTTCTCCACGGAGATTTACCACGCGACTCTGCACCCCATAGGTCGTGCATCTCATCGTTTGCTATGTCAACACTTCACGAGTCTTCCGACAACTCACGGGGCGACTCAAACTCTGATGCTGTGAACACCAGGCCCTCGGCGCCAGTCGCGAAAAGAGCTTGCGACGCGTGCAAGCGTCGCAAAGTTAGAGTAAGACATTGCAGGAGACATGAAGACGGTACGTACTCAAGGCTTTGCTGACCTCGTTAGTGCGATGCATTATCAACACCATGCGCAAATTGCCGCATATCACGCCTCGAGTGCGTTTATAACATAGCACCCCAGAAGAGGGGACCAAAGCGCAAGCGGAACGTTACTACACAGCCAACTTTCAGGGTTTCAGATGGCGAATCCATGCGACAAGCCGGTGCGACAGTCCATCAAAGTGATGCGCGTCTGGGCAACACGACTTTCAGATCGTATGATCTGCAGGTGTCACTTACAGGTGCTCCTTCGTCAGCGGCGAGAAACTTACAGCCCTCGTCCCAAATACACCAACAACCCGACCTTGCGCTGCACGGCATCGCAGACCAATGTATCACATTGTACATGAACTATCTCTTTCCCATATCGCCCACCGTCCATGAACCATCAATCCGTGCCATGGTACCCTTATTGCAAGGTAACGGTGGTGAGGATATGGCAGTGTTACGTAGTCGCACACTTTTAACAGCATTGTGCGCTGTTACTGCTCTGACATTGCCTGTCTCGGTTTTCCCAATGCGAGAACAAATCGGACGTCAGTTTCTTACTGCATCGCGAGAGACGCTGAAGTCGCACGAAGATTACGGTTGGTGGAACAATCTATACGGCACGCACAGGCTACGAGCTGACTTGATACTGTTCTTAAAGATATTGAGAATCTAGACTATATATCTCTAGTCACGAGGTACTATCTTTCGAACGCCTTACATGCCGTTGGCAAAACGCGCGTCTCTTGGCATGTACTTGGAGAGGCTATACGTTTCGCGCAAGAAATGCGGCTTTACGATGAGACCTCCTATCAGAATCTTGATCCACTTGAGGAACGTCTCCTCAGAAGCATATTCTGGCAGATCCATACGGCTGACAGGTCTGCGGCGATCTTGAACGGGCGTCCAATCTCGCTTCACCGCGCGTGCCTGGGAGCTAAAGTCACCACGATGTACTGGCGTGGATCTTTGCCTGATGTACCTTTACTGGATTATTCGAGCACTCCGAGCGCTCTCGACATAGAGAGCGTGGTCAGACAGGGATACGACCTCTGTCAAGACCTGTGGACAAAAGCGTCGAGCATCATCATAAAATTCGACTCCTTGGAAATCTGGAACGAAGGCGTCGAGGATCGATCTGCCTTAGTCGGCCCGTCTCATGAAGTCGTCATCACTGACTATCTTGACTTTATTGCCATGATTGATCATTGCCGATTTGACATCAAGGTACCCGAGACAGTAGATCCTGATTCGCCGACATCGACGCGGATTCAACGAGCCTTTGATATCCAAAGAACAAACCTGTGTGTGACTTACTATTGTTTAAAGATGGTTCTTCTCCAGAGGTTCTATGAAACAGGAATATCCGAACATCTTGGCGTTAGTGGAACGTCGTACTCGCTTGCGTTGAGGAGGCTCGACATCGCTAGTGACATGGTCAGGGTACTATCAGAGGTCTCTATCGAGTCTCTCCAAGTGAATGGGGAGCCATGTGTATGTTACGATATGCGTCTTGAAGTATATCTGCTGACAGCTTTGAAGGTAGAGAAGATTCGAAGAATAGGAGTGACTCTCCTTGAACTCATCCAGCAAAGTCACAACCTAGCACTAACCGAACGTGCTAAATCGTTATTCTTCACTCTCTTAGATGTCCTTTCGAGACTGGATTCTCGCGTCTCCGAAGAGCTCGATTTCAACCGTGGATTCTGAGCAAGATGCACCGCGATGGCTGTGATCTTCATCGTTGAAGATGAATGGGTTGTGATTGAGTATCATGTTCGAATCACAAACGGGTGGATGAAATGACAAAAACGTAACGCATTGCCACTGGGATGGCTCTCGGATTGGAGTGTGCGCTCTCTCTGAACCGCTGCCTCTAGCACCGCGACGGCTGCGGCAGCATCGTAATTTGGGCTGTTGAATTTACGGAGGGCTGCGATGGCTTTCTCATGCTGTCCGTGAAGGACTAACCACGAAGGCGATTCAGGAAGAAGTATCTTGCCTAGGACAACCATTAGAATCGGGGGTAGCAGCTGCGAGAGGATAGGCATGCGCCATCGCCAATCGTTGTTAATGAACGATCCACCATAGCCAACAAGTGCGCAGGACCACTGGCCAACCACGATCATAGTATTCTGGGAGGGTCAGTGGTGTTGCTAAGCAATAAAGTAAGCTCAGTCAACTCACCACCAAAGTCAAGCATATCCCTCGCAAATTGTCGGGTACGATCTCTGCAACGTATACAGGAGAAAGTACATGGCCCAATCCGTACCCAAGTGTGCTGATGATCTTTCCCCCAAAGAGCATCATGATAGAGTTTGCGAACCCCTGAACGAAGATTCCGACGATGCAAAGTAAGCAACCGGCAAGGACTACCTTGCGACGACCAATCTTGTCTGCAATGAAGCCAGCAGCGAAGGCAGCCACGAAAATATCAACTGTCGTAGCAGTGTTCAACACTTGCTGGTCGCGTGCGCTTATCTCAATGGCACCTGTGGCTGTCTCTTGACCAAATCGATCGAGAAATGCAGGGATTGCGATGATGTTGCCGATTAGAACAAGTTCAAACCCAAAGTTGACAGGAAGGAGGAAGACAAGCAGGCCTAATTCACGACGATTAGATAGATGATGGGTGCGAAAATATGCTCGACATACACCATGCTACCATAGCGCGCGGATGGGGGTTTTAGTCACGTAGATGTCGCTATATTGCACTAATATAGTGTTGTCGTAGTGTTAGCAGAGTGTCTGTGCAGTATTAATAAGCTAACACAGTGTTTGCACGCTGTTTAACCTTAATATAGCGACATCTACGTGACGAAAACCCCCCTCCAGGTCATACGCTAGTATTCGCTTCTGTTGCCAAAGATCACTAAACCCTGGGCTCTCATGAGTGGTTCGATGGTCAACGGTATGGACTTGGGCATCTGACCATGGACGGTCTTTTCTATTGACCCTTCCATCAATGCGCATTACTGGTGTAGTCGAATGATGAATATTAGACGTTTTGGAGCCATATAATAGATTTGAACTACGTTTCTACACTATTTCTGCCACAGTACTTATAACAACGCGGGGAGGATGCTTGTCTGACCTCATGGCATAGTCTGGGGTAGACTGTATTTCTCCACGGCGAAATGGCAAGACCTCGAATCATGGACATCTGTTACCGAGCACGTGGTGACGGCCCCACAACTGGGATTGTGGACGGCGGAAGTCTAGCCATGTGGTGCGATTGGCTAGCGGCGCCGGGCTCCGTGCCACAGTAGGCTAAGCGCCGCATAATTCTCCGTGGCGAAACAGAATCGCGATACGCGTAAAGGAATTTCTCCATGGAGTAATAAAGCATGACAACAACTTCGGAGCGATGGAGACCGACTATAATCGGCTCGAGCTACATTGCTCGACCCGATCTGGTTCGTTTCGCCGTCTCCCTCAAGTTCCTTAACCTTTGCCCTATTCATCATCCACAGGGAAACCAAAAAGCAATGTTCAGCAACCCGATAATACCTGGATTCGCGCCGGACCCTTCTGTCGTTCACGTAGACGGCATCTATTATCTGGCGACTTCTTCCTTTCATTTATTCCCTGGTATTCCAATCTATGCGTCCACGAATCTGCAAGACTGGAGGCATATCGGTTCGTCTGCTTCTTCGCACTGTTCTGGCATGAGCGCTGGCTGAGGCTTCCAAGGGAATGCAATCAACAGATCCACACAACTCGATCTGCACAATGCGACTACATCTGCGATACCCCTCGATGATGGCAACGTGATGGTAGCATCTGGAGGATTATTTGCACCCACTATTCGACATCACAACGGCACTTTCTACATCGCCTGCACAAACTGCTCCCACGGAAAGGACAACTGGCAAACCGACAATTTTCTAATAACAACTGACGACATCTGGTCCGACAACTGGAGCGACGCGATACCATTTGATTTTTACGGCATCAGTCCTTCACTTTTTTTCGACGATGATGGCCGCGCGTATATCCAGGGCTCATGGATGATGGAGATGGATCGCATGAAACAGCCAAGTTGCACGATCAAGCAGTTTGAAATTGACGTCAGAAGCGGATCCGCACTATCTGAAACGCGTGAGATTTGGGGCGGCTTTGCTAAACGAGATACCGAGGGTCCACACATTTACAAAAAGGATGGTTGGTACTATTTACTAGTGGCTGAAGGCGGGACCTTCGAACATCACATGCTGTCCATGGCACGCTCAAGAGATATCTGGGGACCGTACGAATCTTGTCCAAATAATCCCATCATGACTGCGGATGGCAGGAATGAATACGTGCAAAATATTGGCCACGGAGAAATCTTCCAAGATATGAACGGGGACTGGTGGGCAGCAGTCTTGGGTGTACAGGGAGACCAGAACAAAGCGCCAATGGGGCGCGAAACCTTTCTCACAACAGTAGAGTGGCCAAAAGACGGATGGCCCCTTATTGATCAGCCACAAATGTCGTTCAGCACACCGCGCACAGTACAATTAGGTTTCGCTGCGGCACAGCTGATCAAGAAATCGCGATTAGTAAACCCCCACCTGGACGATTTATACCTGCATAAGCCACTGCGGAGTCCCTACAAGAAATCCGGCTCAATAGCGCTCACACCTCATACTTCGACACTCTCCGCCGCAACAGCGCCTCTCGCTTTACTGGCCCGCCGCCAACGAAGCGTAAACGCCATTGCTGCAACGACTGTACTCCTCGATAACGAGGCCACTCATTCAAACGCGATAGGTGGATTAACTGTATACAAAGATCCCCTGCGCCACGCTAGTATTTCCGTCGCCCTGTCCACCCGTCTCATCCACGTCCACTTCGTTGACGCGTCCAACGATTACGAGTACACAGCATCGTACCCAGAGCCCGTCTCGCGTTCGTCCACAGCCGTAGACCTCCGTATCATCGCTGGCGAAGAGCGTTACGCACTCGAGTTCCGCGACCCTGACCGTGACCGACGATGGAAGCAAGTCGACATGGTGGATACTACTATGCTGAGTGCACGGGATTTTACAGGCACGATCATGGGCATATTTGCACTCAGAGACCGCAATGCGAGTCCGAGTAATAGCCCGCGTGATGACTGTGACAGTGGAAGCGACGTAACGGACCAAAAGGTCACATTTCGAGATTTTGAAGTCAGAGGTTAGCGGGATATGTTACTTTTGTCTTTTCAAGCAATGGCGCAAGGCGCATGTATGGCGTATAGTATTTCTAGCTAATCGATACCCATGACGAAGCAAACAAAGAGGGCTCGTTTGCTCGGACAAATCGAGCGCCGCATTACATTGATGTACGACCCTAACTATGGCGGCGCCTCGGTAGCTTCGATGGCTTGGCCCTAGGCGGAGTGGATCTACGCTGACATGTACGAGAGCTAAGGGCGGAGTGGGTTCCAAACTATCATTCCGCCGCCGTTTGAAGCGTCATGCACCTACTTTGGCACTTTAGACTCAAAACCACCGTCATAACGAAGCTTCATGCATTGAAGACAGGGTCTTCACTTCGATTGGCCTTATTGCAGGTTCAAAGGAATACATAGGCAGATTTCAACCGTATCACGACTCTATTAGAGGCTGCATCTCTCGGTGTGCACAGTGTTCCGAAGAAACATCGCAAACACCGTAATTATACCGTCAACACGATCACTCTTTCCAAAGTAGGCCGGCACAATTTCGCACATCAGATCTATATAAGTTGTCAACATGTGTTCCCAGTATTCCGCAACACAACATTTTTCCTATCAACATTACCACTTTGTTCCACGACCCAGGGTCCAACTATGGTTTCTTTTAGCATCATCGGCTTAGCGGCCGCTTTGACTATACTCGCATCTCCTGTTCTCGCTACCCCTGCACCACAATTCAGACCAAACTCAGGTTGTCGCCTCGTTAGCAAGACCTCAGGTCCATCTCCCGAATGTAGATTGCCAACCGCAGAATGCGGCTTTGGTCAATATGTAGGACGCACTGAAGGGGGAAGCACAAATACTGCTCCCGGGATCTGCAAGGCCTGGACTAATGTATGTTTCGATTCCCTTGTGGCAAACCCACGTGTACTTCAAGCCCCCCTACATTCTATTTACTAACGTGAGCTTTCTAGTGGGAGTGCTGCACGCGAAGCTAGGGAATTCAGGTTTGGATAGCTAATAGGAAGATATATGACATAATAACAAGCTCGGAACCGAACTATTAGCGAATCGGTGACATATCGTGTACGGCCATACCTCCTTATCGATGCCTGGCCTCTATCTTCTGTACCCACCACAAATCACGCCATATAGCACACAAGAAAAAACTCTTCTTTCCTCGAAACAGCGACTTTTGTCAGTACGCGACTCAGAAAACAGTCAGATTCCAAGCCCGACGGACTCATCTTGGTGGACCTTGTTGCCAAATCACGCCTTCGTCAGCCATGAAAAGGGCCAAGCGGAGTAAATTTCCCCTTGGGACGCCATGGCGCCCCACTTGGCTTGTACATCAGCCGAAATGAACCTTCCTCGGTGCCGCACTCGTACTCGCACTACCCAGCAAGGGTGCCCTATCAACGTGCCAGGGTGCTTAGGCGAAACGATCTATGCGCTCGGTGTCTTTTGCCACGAGACTAGGCATCCAGGTCGAGGCATTCCACGCTTTTGGAGCTAATGATGCGACTTGCCTCGGTAAACCTTGTAGGGCTGACAGATGCTCGAG